TCTATATTAGCAAAAACACATTTTATGGTCTTTTTTTTTTTTTTTTTTTTTACAGAGAACCATATTCCAGTATTGAAAGTTTCACAATACAATCATCAAATGAGGGGAATTTTGGACAATAACACTTAAAGCTATATCTTTACTCAAAACGTTTTTGTTTTTTTTTTTGTTTTGGATAGAATGGGGAAAGGTCAGAACCCGTGTCAGGTTTTACTGATAACTGGGGCTCTGTTAGGGGGTTTCCCCCTCACTTTATGTCCTGCTGACAAACTTTTACCTGACAGGTAGTGAAGAAAAATCTGAAACAGTCAAACTGACAACAATAAAAAGCCGACAGGGGTTCTTGCATTCCCCAACTTAACTTCAAAAGCAGGTTCACATCTATGTTTCTGTTTAAGGGATTTCCCCTCACATCTGGTCCTGGGGACAACCTCCTTTTTTTGCCAGACAGGATGTGAAAAAAAAAAATCTCCAATGGAGCTTCTGACGGCAATAAAACCGTTTTCTAATCCTTCACCACTGTATCCAAAAAAAAAGAAACCCCAGTGGCCTTTCATTTACTATAATGCCACCCTTTCAAGCAGCACACAGACCTTTATGGTTTAATGCAGGGCTGTACAAATTCCAGGAGCCAGGCAGCCAAAGGTCCTTAACCGCTTGAAGACCAGGTGTTTAGACCCCCTTCCTGTCCAGGCCATTTTTCAGTGTTCAGCGCTGCAGTACTTTGACGTTTATTCCGTCATGCAAAGCTGTACCGAAATTAATTTTATACAATTTTTTGGGAATAGATAGAGCTTTCTTTTGGTGGTATTTATTCACCACTGGGGGTTTTATTTTTTACTATATTCAGGAGAAATTACTGAAAATTTTGGGAAAAAAAAGTATATATTCTTTATTGTGTAACTTTAAAAAAATTTGGGGGGAAACTTTACATTTTTTTACTATTTTTTTTTTCACTTAACTTTTGTTAAGTCAAACCCCCTTATGTGATAGCAGAAGAGGTGACAGACCCCTAATTTCACCTAGGACCCCCCTGAAGAAGCTGATGATAGCCGGCGGATCGCTTGTATATTAACGGGCATCGCTGCCTCTTTTCAAATAGCAGAGCTTTCCCGCCTTCCCGCTGTATACACGCCCAGTTACATCCAAGTTAAAATTTGCAGCTACTGAGGTTTTCTTTAGTTGTTGTTGTCAATGGAGATGGCTCCTGGAGTGCACAGACGGGCTCCTGAATTACATATTAATATGCTCACTCCTGGTTTAATGCCACCCCCTGCAGCAGCACACAGACTATTCTTATGGTTTAATGCCACCCTCACCAGCAGCACACAGGCCTTTGTTATGCTTTAGTGTCACCCTTCCCAGCAGCACACACACCTTTCCTATGCTTTAGTGTCACCCTTCCCAGCAGCACACAGACCTTTCTTATGCTTTAGTGTCACCCTTCCCAGCTGCACACACACCTTTCCTATGCTTTAGTGTCACTCTCCCCAGCAGCACACAGACCTTTCTTATGGTTTAGTGTCACTCTCCCCAGCAGCACACAGACCTTTCTAAGGCTGGGCACACACCTTACAACCATCGCAAGACTTTTGTCTTGCGATGGTTGTAAGGTACTTAAAAAAAAAACGTATGATCTGCCTATCTTGCATAGGCAGATCGTACTTGCGATGATCACAAGCCACGCCCCCGAGGGGCAGGCTTCCGATGACCGCAATGCCGAACAGGCAGTGTGCACTTGCGCACACCGGCCCGTACGGCTTTTATCGTACGAACATGCCACAAACCCGCCGAACATCGTACGATGCTCGGCGGGTTTTCGAACATGTCCATAAGTTAAAAGTCGTGCAACCTTACAGTGGTAGAGGTCGCACGGCTTCCACACACCTTACGATAATTGTACAATCGCGGGATTTCCCGCGATTATCGTACGATTATCGCAAGGTGTGTGGGGACCTTTATGCTTTAATGTCACTCTCCCCAGCAGCACACAGACCTTTCTTATGGTTTAATGCCACCCTTCCCAGCAGCACACAAACCTTTCCTTTGCTTTGAAGTCAATCTACACCCCCATTTTTTTTGGTGTTATAAACAATGTCATCCCATGAAAGAAGAACACTGAAATTTCTTTCACTTTCCAACTTCTCTGTTCAGTTGCTGGAAGGGAGAAAAGGAAGTCCTTACACAGGGCTGAGGGCTCCCATGTGACAGCACTGTGCTGCTAATTACCAAGCACCAGCATTGTCACATGAGAAAAAGGGGAGTGAGCCACACGTTCCTCCATACTTGCAGCACAGGGTATTTTCTTCACTCTGGGCAGCTGAATAGAAGAGTGGGGGAGAGAAGGAAATGCAAGCATGTACTACTTGGGAGAATGGCAACAAAGCAAACCTGTTGCTTTGCCCTACAACAGCAAAGAGTGTTTCCTTTAATAGCAGTTAAAACAGATAACATTTCATGCCATAGTGTAAACACCTGAATAGTTGGATACACTGAATCATAAAACAAAGCAAAAATCTGTAAGGGCCCATTCACACTGCTACTTTGTCCCATTCACGTTCCATGCGTTAAGCACACACTATCGCACAATCCACCGAGCTTGCAGTACAATGCGTTGATGCAATGCATTGGCATCGATTCTCAATGGCACTCCAACGCACCTCCCGGCGGCCATGTGTTTGCCACGCGTTACTGCAGTACCATGCGTTGCGAAAAAGTAGTACATGCATTGAAAAAAAAAAAAGGAGTAGCACAATGCAGAAGTCTTAACTAAACTGAAACATAGTCATATTATCAACCCAACCTGGGGCACTTTGATACTTGTTATGTGGTCCTTGGGCCCCTGCAGTAAGTAGCCCAAGAGTTGATCTGTTAGGGAACTCTGTTATCTCTAGCAGTCCCATGTAATATGTTTCCAGTCTCTTTCTGTGTCCTGCAGCACCTCTATAGTCTCTGACCACACCTGTAGCATATCCACACTATCTGACCATCTCCTGTAGCATGTCCACAAACAGATTTCCTGTAGCATTAAACATACTTAAAATCGTCCTAAACTCTCAATAATGAATTTAGATCATACAAATATACATTGCCCAGGAAGATTTGTTTTTACAATTTTTCCCCAAGCACTTTCAGTCATCATCATAGTCAGCATTTACAGTCAACAGTTGGCTCCAACTCTCTCAGCTCAGCTTCCCTGAACTTCCTTTTCATTACAAGAACACAAGGGACAGAAGAGTATTCAACATCTGTCCATCTACTGACTTGGAGAAAGGAGGGAGTGCCTGGAAGTGTCTTGCCTTGCTATGCCTGTGTGTTTTGGGGAGAAGTCTCCCTTAAACAGGATGTCAGGACCAGTGATCAGGGGGCCAGCTGATTCTTCAGGAAGCTAAAACATTTAACTATCAAGGTGCAGCATCAATTGAAAGTGATTTGATCAGCATTTGAAACAGCCTAAAAATGTTCTGACTTTAATACGGTATTACTATAGAGCTTAACTATGGGACAAGCAAATATTGTCTAAATATTAGAGGTATGTGTATTCTTCCTTGAATCCTGAAGTGCTTTGTGTATTTGTTCCAGATCTGTACAGTAATCCAGTATGAACTTTCCCTCTGTGCAGGAGTTTTCTGTTATAAAGACCAATTACTATTGTTCTCTCTTTCCTGATACAGGATGACTGGTCTTGTATCCACCCCTTACTGTAGTTTCCTGCAGGCAGGCTGTAGTGGGTGGAACCTGCTAGGCCCCCTCCCACATCTCTGCTGTCTACACAGGCTAGGTACAGCACAGTGATGATAACATCATTTAAAATGGGTTTGCAAAGGCATTTGGTGCACACAAAGTGAATAAATATATTTTGTGGCTATTGAGGAATATATTTTAAAACGAAAGTTTTTGTGCCTGCAGCTCAACGTTATCAGCTATGTACAGCCCTTTGGCCAGAGATGGGCAAACTAGCTGTGGTTAAACTACGAATCCCATGATGCATCTTTCTCTGGGAGTCATGCCTGTGGCTGTGAGAATCTTGCAATGCCAGGTGGGATTTGTAGTTCCACAACAGCTGGAGGGCCAGAGTTTTCCCACCCCTGCCTTTGGAGATGCCACTTGAGGCCCCGTACGCCTTGTAAGTTGACAATAATGTTGACGCTCATAGTTGCCATAGGCCTCATTCGCTGGCCACCGCCACCTGAATAAAAGTACTATAAGCCCAGGCCAATTCAAGCCGCCTGTAACACGTACAAAGCCTTCCAACCTCCATCCATAGCATACTTCTTAATCTCACAGCCATTCTTCCTAGAGTACCAAACAGGATGTGAAGATGGCAAAAGAAAAGCGGGCAACATATGGCCACATAATCTAGCATATGCCGAACTCATCATTAGCAGAACAACAACACAAGATGATTGCTTGACGTCCTGGCACCAAGGTACACAGCACCGAAGGCAGGCTGTGCCCACAGGCAGGCCAGGGAAAAGCAGCAATGATTGAGCTGCTGGAGGGAGGCCTCTCTAATCTCTCCAGCCACAGCCAAGCAACATAAACAATGATGCCAGCACTGTGCCCCCTGCCATCTCCTCAGTCCTCGCTGCCCCTGCCAAGCCACAACTTTCAAGCAGCCATGACAAGAAAAGCACACAAAGAGGCATGTAGCCGGCAGATCATGACAACAGGGTCAAGCAAACAGCAACAGCCCCTGTATGCAGTGACAGCCATGGATCATGATGGCTAGGTGCCCATGGCTGAATGTGGGATCCCTTGTTACTAACCTCTTCCAGGGAGAAGTTTCCAGATGCAGCTTTGTGAATGGTGGGCCAGTCCTCTGATCCTGCACTGAGCACAGCCTGCTTCACCTTTATAAGCAGCCCCAGCAGCAAGCTCCCCTGTGCTCTATGGAGATATTGTCACTGCTCATCACGCTGCATCCTTATGGAGGATCTGTTGAGTTGCTGAAAGAAGGGTGTGGAGGGGGGAGCCTTGAAAAGAGGAGTGGTTGAGAAGCTGCATTCAGGAAATCCCCTTCTCTTCCCAGCACTCGGTGCAATTCAACACACAGGCGGTGCTGGCTGGGATCCTGGAGGAGGAGGACCCAACTTCAGGGGGCAGAGAAGAAGCAGGAGGCAATAATGAGGAGGAGGGGCAGGAGAAGCATCTTGGGAAGGGGAAGGCATGTTTATTTTCCTTCTGCCTCCAGGGATTCTGAGAGACATAATAGAGCTGGAGAAGGAGGGGGGAATGGAGTGCAGTGGAGGCAGCTGCTGTGTGCTCTAGTCAACATGGACAACTTCAGAGCTGCTTGCTATAGGGAGATGTGAGCTTAGCAGATGACAAGATGATTCAATAACCAGTGATAAGTGCTGTGAGCAATTACAGTTCACTTTACTAAAGCTGCCTTTACACTGTTAGAATTTTGTATGAACGTTCATACAAAAATTATTCGATAGTGCCATCAGCGACTTGACGATGGTCGTTCGAAAGTTCAATTGTTTTTAATATTCCACTTTGGAATGAAGGAAAACCTCATTATATTAGGGTATACACAGCTAGAAATTCGAATGAACGAAATCGGCTTTCTAATCGTTAAAGGGGTCAAATCAATGATCGATTGATGGAAAAAGTAAGAGCACATTGGAAAGTTTTGTTTGATCAAATAAAACAAAGAATGTGGTTTTCGTTTGGTAAACTCCATTCATTCCAAAGTTGAATGATAAATGAAAACGAAAATCAAACGAAATTTTGAATGACAGTCACAAAGATGGCATTATCGAACGTTCTGACGGGATCTTTCATACGAACGTTCCTACTTCACTGTTAAAGTAAAATTCTACCTTTTGTTATAATATGTACTCAACTGCATAAAAGAAAAAAATGTGCATTTATTTTTTTTTTTGCATAGGAGCCAGCAAAGCATTGAAACTGTGATCAGTGCATTGTGGGTGCAATGCTGTGGCTCCTGCAGACTAGGGATGCATCGTTATCGATACTAGTATCGGTGCTGATACCGAGTATTAGGGTGATTACTCGTACTCTCCCAAATGCTCCGATACCTTCCTCGATACTGGAACTTCCGGTCAGAGGAAGATTTCCCCTGACCGGCAGTGACGTATGGGAACATGGAGCCGGCTTCCAGGCAATCAGGAAGCTAGGTGGCCAGTAATGACCCAGCTTCCTGATTGGTTGGGAAGCCGGCATCCTGGCTAATCAGCATGGAGCCGGCTGTTTGGCTGGCTCCTTGCTGATTGGCCAGGAAGCCGGCTTCCCGGCCAATCAGCATTGAGCCAGCCGAACAGCCGGCTCCATGCCAATTGGCTGGGAAGCCGGCTTTCCAGCCAATCAGCATGGAGCCGGCTTCGTGGACAATCAGGAAGCCGGGAGGTGGGTCATTACTCGCTGTCTGGCTTTCTGATTGGCTGGGAAGCCGGTTTCCCGTCCAAACAACATGGAGTTGGCTTCCCGGGAAATTAAGAAGACGGGCGGCATGTCATTACCCGCTGCCCGCCTTCCTGATTGCCCGGGAAGCTGTCTCCATGCCAGCGGAAAGCAAAATATTGATACTCGTACTCGAAACCGAAAAAACGGTATGGGTACATCCCTACTGCAGACTGTTCCTTCCAATCCCTGTCCACACTGAGCTACGAATATTCAGTAACATGGACAGGAGGTAGTGTCAATGCACTACAAGTGTGGAGATGTCACTTGTATTCCGTTGCAACACCAAATCCCTCTGCTGCGGGGGCAGATGGGACTTGTAGTTTCTCCACTCAAAACCCTGTCAAAGGATCTGTGAATAGGTGAGGCGGCTGTGCAGAATCCAAACAACAGCAGCAGCCTGCTGGGAGAAGAACTCCGTGGTTCAGATAAGTGAGGGTGGGGGTGCTGATGTGACTATGTTTCATGCTACACCCTAAATATGGGGGTAACATGAAACATGGTCAGAAAGGTAAACTTAGCCTTTAAGCTGACCGTACCCTGATAGGATTTCGAATGAGCGTTCATAGGAAAAATCTCGTCAGAACATTTGATAATGCCATCAGAGAGTCGCAGAATGTAATTTGATATTTCATTTGGTTTTAACATTCATTTTGGAATGAAAGGAGTTTCCCAAATGGAAACCACATACACCGTTAGAATTTAGTTGAAGGAGAACAAAGGGGTAAGTGCTTTTCCCCATAGTTCTCCTAAGGGTAACGGGAGGACATAAACTAGCGTCCTACCGTGACCCAAAGCTCAATATATCGCGAGCTACAGCTCCTGGTATACTGAGACCGCCAGAGCCGGGACGGATCCCGACATTACTGTCAAGATCCACCCAGCTGCGTGAGTGACAGCTGGATCTGCATATCTAGAGGCAGAGCCATCTGTGACCGCCCCCTCCCCCGTCCATTCCACCAGTCAGCGCTGGAGGATCAGACAGGGGAGGAGGGGGGGGGAATCCCCAAACAGCATGGATGGAATCTCCCACTGCAGCTATTGTATTCTGCTAGCTATCAAAATACCTGAACAGTGCCAGAATCTGACAGGATGCATTTGTTTTGATTTTCCACCCGTCTCCTTAAATTTTTCCAATGAAGGAGCTTCAGTGGGGTCCCTAGGTGACATTAAGGGGTCTAATAGACCTCTGATGTCCTAATAAAGAGGACCTGTCACTTCCTCTGTGCAGTTACATAGGTGGTTGTTAGCCCCTTATGCGATATAAAGTTATATGCAAAAAATAAAATAGTTAAAAAAATTATAGTGACATATACAAAATTAAAAAAGTAAAGCCCTCCACCCCCACATACATGCACATATAAATGCATACATGTGTGAAAATGACGATTGTGCCACACATTGCATATTGCCATGAACATCGGAGTGAGAGCAATAATTCTAGTGCCATCACTTACAGTTAACTCTAAATTGTTGAGCAGTAAAGGCTTTTAAACCTTCGCCTATGGGCAATTTTGGGTAACTTAGTTTTTTGCCATTTCATGGAGCAGTGCAATTTTAATGCTTGACACGTTTGGTGTCTATTTACCTGTTGTAACCCTATTTTCTATATTTTACCAAAAAATTGGCTATTATATTGTGTTTGTGTGCATTTTAGGGCATTTTTTCTGACAATATTATCATTATACAGAATTTTTTTTAGCACCAACAGTTTGCTCAGCGCTTTACAATATAAGGAATACATTACAATTGCAATACAATTCAAGACAAGATGGTAAGGAGGGCCCTGCCCCTGAGGGCTTCAGATCTATTTTGAATATCAATTTGATAAACATTTGCACAAACATTGTACAACATAAAACATTGCAACAAACATTTTTTATTCTACAGGGCCACTGCTTTCAAAAAATATATAATTGTTTGGGGGGTTTAAGCAGTTTCCTAGCCAAAAATTCAGATGTTTATATGTTAATATGTGTGCAAAAATGGAAAAAATTGCTCCAAAGTGGTTAATAAATAGTTAAAGTGTATCCAAAGCCAAAACTATTGCCTGTTATTTTTCTTTTGGTTGTCTGGTTCTTGTTGGGGAGATTAACTTCCTGTCTTAGAGAGAAAGTAAGAGGAAGTTTCTCCTAAAGACAAATGCTGACTATGAACTAGTTCTGAAGCAACTAATCGACAAAGTCGATAATAATCTATAATTAAAACCGTTGTCAACGATTTTCATTATCGATTAGTTGGTCAGTGAATTAGTTGGACTGCTTGCAGCTCCTCCTACCCTCCCCGTCACTGTAACACATTATATGCTTGTTCACTCAAGTTCTTTTGTGAGTATGTTTTTTACTCCTTTTATATCGTCATGATAAAACGGTTTTACACGATGGAGGCGCTCTCTTTTCCTTTTTATTTCAGTCTTTCTGGTTACCCCAGAGCAGCGTGAGCAGCCTCCAGAGTGCATCATTACACCTTTTCCACACAGGTATTGGTGCTGGCGCCTGTGGTATTAACTATTTTCAAGCTTTTCAACTTACCTGCTGGAAAGGGAATGGCATAACAACCAGCCTCCCGAATGTTTCAGCCTCCTCCTCACTCGGCTGCTCATAGTGGACTGTGGACAGGCTAACTGTACAACTGGTGTAAGTAGTGTGTATTATGTGCTTTATGTGCTGTATGTGTTATATGTACTGTGTATGTACTGTGTGTGTATTATGTGTGTATTATGTGTTGTGTGCGTGCTGTGTGTGTATTATGTGTTGTATGTTTACTGTATGTGTTTTATATGTTGTATGTGTGTTGTGTGTATTATGTGTTCTATGTGTACTGTGTGTGCACAGGGCTGGCCTTTGGGGTGTGCGAACTGTGCGGCTGCACAGAGTACCATTGCAAAAGGGGCGCTAGGCGGCCGACACAGCTCGCTATGACACAAGCTGCAGTCAGGGCTGGATTCCCCACAAGGCCACGGCCGGGAGTAGAGGGGCAGCACAGACTGTAGCTTCTCCTCAGGACCCAGCTGCTCTCCCCCGCCTGTATGAGCAGATGCAGCGGGGATCCGAGGAGAAATGGAGCACTGAAGCCATTGGGGGGCGTAGATGGGAGCGCTGTCATCAGGATGGGTGAGCGGGGAGAAGATTGCAGAGTTGTTATCTGTCAAATTTAGGATGGCTGAGCGGCTGTGTGTGTGGCCGAGCGGCTGCGGTCACTTTCAGGATGGCTGAGTGGGGGATCGGTAAATATGTGTAATATTTATTTCTGGTTCACACCTGGGCGTTTTGTAGCGCGTTCGAACGCTCTGCAAAACGCTCAAACACCGAAATCCCATTATTTCCTATGGGTATGGTTCACACCTGGGCATATTACAGGCCGTATGAACGCGCTACAAAACGCCCTACGCCCAAAGAAGTACAGGAGCTTCTTTGGGGCGTTTTTGACGCGCGTTTCCATTGGGATACAGCCAAGTAGCCCTCGGAAACGCGCGTTTGTCACGTATCTTCGATACGCCTAAGTGTGAACCCAGCCTTACTGATTCTCTGTGTGCAGCACAAACACCAGAGTCATCGCTGATCACACATAGTACTGTGTCCCCAGTTATGAATGAACAGGAAGTGCTTTACATCACTTCCTGTTCATTCATGAGTTTCTGAATGGGTGGAAGCAGCTCACTAC